ATGCTATAAATTTTTCCATGTGCAATCAGTCTACAGCGCATTGTTTGCAAGTCTGAATCAAACCACTTTTTATTTTTTTGCTTTTTAACATTCTTTCTGTTATGACTTGTCCTATTTAATGACATGTTAGCAGCAGTTATGATTATATCATTGAATTCTTCAGCCTTATTCTCAATATCAGTAGATGTAGCTTCTGTAATAAAGGAATCTAAAAAAGACTTGATTTTTTCTTGTATCTTATCTGAACTTAGAGCTAATTGAAATTTAATAGGAGAATCATCATTCCATTTAAAATTTTGAGGGGCAGGGTGCAAGGATTTGGTATTAGTAACATTTGAACTCTCCTGAAACTTTGCTAGAACTTCCCATGATATTTTACAGTGACAATCAGAAAGAGTAGGAATAAAACTAGATACCCTGAAATATAAAATTTGTTTAACTAAGTTTTCACTTGCAACAAGGTAGTCTACTGTGCTTTGACCATGCGTGTTAAAACATGTGTAATCACCAAAAAAATCCCCAATGCATCTACCATTTATAATTCTCATCTGATTACTAATACAAAAATCAATCAATTCTTTTCCTCTTTCATTTAAAATGACATCACGGTTACTACGTTTACAAAAATCATTATCAACCTTGTAAGTTTTATACAGAGGAAGGTACCTTACATCATCATGTACAATAAAATCATCTGATGCAGCAGTGCGTGCATTCATATCCCCACAGATCATTATTTCCCCCTTAGTCTTAAACTTGTGAACATCTTTCTCAATAATATCAATAACATCATAATTTAACTTCTGAAAGTAGGTTGAATTTGAGGGTGGAATATAACATGCACAAAGATAAATGTCCTGTTGAAGATTAAAAAACTGTTTTTCAATTTTTATCCATTGAAAATCTTTCTGGGTACCTGGTAACAACTTGATATGTTCCTTAATACAATTTCTACGAAAAATGCCAATTCCCCCATAAAATCTTCCATTTGCAGACATGTCCCTACATACAGGGAAGTATGAAAAACCATCAATAAAAAGATTTGTATTATACCCAACATGTGTTTCACCTAATATAATGAGATCATAGTTTTTTACCTCCTTCAAAAATAATTCATCATTTAGCTTATTCTCACCTTGTGTAAAAATTCCTCCAACATTCCAGTAACAAATTTTTATGCTGTGTTTGTACATATACTTGTCCATATTGGATTCTTAATTGTATACTACTCAATAAAGAATTATACAAATAAAGAAAATCATCTAAGTTATATAAATTCTAAGATTCTTTAGTTTCAGATGTAAAACAAGTTTTGATTTACAATTTCAAATATTTATCACCATTGTGTTGATGGCCCTTTCTATGTTCAGCGAAAATAGTTTGGACTTTGTTTAAATTTGCGGCTATAACTATTGCCCTGGTATCCATAATTCCAGCCCGGGTTGCCCTTGTAGTAATGGTCCCCGTTATTTGACTTGTAGTAATGGTCCCCGTTATTTGACTTGTAGTAATGGTCCCCGTTATTTGACTTGTAGTAATGGTCCCCGTTATTCGACTGGAAATGCTTTTCCTGGTTGTAGTTGAATCTGTTTTGATATTTATTCGCATGTCCCTTAGAGACGGTGCTTATCTTTAATACGGTGTGAATTGCTCTCTTCATGTTGGACGCTAGTATGGATGTTCCCTTTGGAGACAGGTGAAATTTGTCTTTGGGATTCAGTAACTGAATTGTGGGTAGATATCCGTGCCACATGTTTTCGTTGTCAGAAATATGAACTCCAGGACACTCCATGTAGTCCCTCTTAATGATTCCATCCAGAATCTCACAGTTTACCTTGTGCAAGGAGTTGTCTTCTCTTGGAGTGGTTAGAGATATGATGGTGTTGACATCTTTCCACTTCTTTTTAATGACCTCAACCACACTCTTCAGTTTCTCAGCGCATTCTTCGGGACTAACATTCCTAACATCGTTTGTTAAAGGGTGGAGGACTACTACATCAGGTATGCAAGAAGAATTCATAATAACATCCTTTGTTTCATCGAGAGTATATGCTGTAACTTTTGTAACGTTTACATCAGACGTAAGTTTATCTTCTTTAATGCCATTCACATTGGAAGTACCTATCAATAACGCCATTGGTTTTCCATTCCTCTCGGCATTGGTTTCCAAATCTTTCGCCCTGCTGATTTCAATGTCCTTTTCGCTGCTTGTGAACATTCTGGAGAGCTGCGATTTTAGGGACAAAATTTCATTGCAGTAGTCGTCAGCTTTTTTTCTGAGTGATCTATTATCATCCTTGAGCTGATCATTTTCTTCATTTTTCATGCTTAACTTTTCTGATAGGTGTTCATTTTCATGCTCCAAATTCTTGAGTTTTCTCCCCGTCTCATCCTTGGTATTGTTTCTGCTGCTTATGAACATGCTGGATAGCTGTGATTTTAGGGACAAAATCTCATTGAATTGTTCATCAGTTTTTTTTCTGAGTGATCTATTGTCATCCGTGAGCTGATCATTTTCTTCATTTTTTGTGTTAAGCTTTTCTGACAGGTATTCGTTTTCATGTTTCAAATTCTTGAGTTCTCTTCTCAGTGTCTCATCTGTTGTGTTGTTTTTTGCTTTTTCTGTTTTTAGCTGAGATTCCAATCTTGCGATTTCTACTGTTTGATCCTTCAACTTCAGAGACTTAATTGTATCTAACTCTGTCTGCAAATTATTTACGGATCTGGACACTTTCTGTAAGGCGTCGGACAAGTTTTTCTCAATTTTTGACATAAGTGTTCCTTGTGTTTCAGTTAACTTGGTCAAAGATTCGACGAAAATAGATTGTAATTTATCGAAATCTTTGTAAGTCACTTGGGGACTACAGGTGTCAGTATTTTCTGGTTGTGACAAATCTTCTATCTGATCTTTCGGTATATGTTCATGTTCAAGAGTTTTTAATAAGGTTTCATGATCAGGGTCCTCTGCTTCTTCGTTTGATATCTCAGATTTTTCATAATGACAAATGGCATTCACAAGGGATAAAAGGATTGGGAAATCATTTCTTGCGAAAATGTCGTGATGCAACCCTTGTGCTTGTATCACTCCAGTTGTAATAAATAGGGTGACCTTGTACATAAGTTGTGTGTCCTTCACTAAACCAATACAAATTGCTTTGTTACCTTCAGCCACCCAGTCATTCGGTTCGTCATACCAGTCTACTAGATACGATAAGGCCTCTAAATTCCCATAATGTTCATAATAGAATATTCCCAGAGCTCGTATCCATGCTTCTAATCTCTCCCTAGTGATACGAAATGCTACCATGTGAGCCGCCTGATCATATAACGAGTTGTCGATCTTTTCAATTTCTAGTTTCTTTGCTTTAGGCCCTGATGGGTTTTTGAAGTTATCAGGTAAGCACTCTTGAGGGTATTCCTTGTAAATTACACTCACTGACAAATCCACCTTCGTTAGATCTATTTTGAATGGTAAACTCACTACCTCCGCCATTTTGACTTTGGCGCCATCCCTGTCATCGATATTGTTTATAGATTTGTCACTTTCACCCATTTTCTATACTTCAATGTACTGTTTGTAAATTAATTTGCAGCCTAAAATATCTGTATACCTTTGTGCCAATCTATATTCATACACTTCTATTCCATAGAAAGGGACAACAACGCTGGCTATATTTTCATCAACCGTGCATCCATAACCGGAACCGGATGTCATGTGAACACAGAGACATTTTTTCTGTATTTTTTCTATCCTATTATATAGAAGTTTTATCGGCGTAAAAAAATTATAATAACAGAAACAAGTGTGAACATTTATTTAATTTTCCTAGCGATACAAAAAGAAATAAACACTAATTAAGATTACGAACGGTAAAATCAATTCGTTTTTAATTAAAAAAGGGGAGATAACTCTTACCAAAATTCAAGGTCATGAATTAAGACACGGGGGGGGGGGGTGTCGGGAAACAACCCCCCCCCACTCATTAATTTTTTTACGTGTCATTTTATTATTTTGTTGCATTGATAAGACTCTAATAAACATGAACCTTTCTTTACAATTGTGTAATATTCATGAACTACGTAACAGGAAATCACTTTCCGCTTGAACGCACACTATACACAGGTAATCAACAGAGAGAGTGCCTCAGAGATCAATAGTCCGTGCATCTATAGTGAAGTCACAAGATCACAGTACAATGTAATCTGGTACCAACAACAGAAAACTGCATGGTTACGGTGCTGATCTGTAATATTTTTTGCTGATAATACATGTTTTAACTATGCGAATAAACTATTATTCAGGGTTTTTTTTACCGTTTTAAAAATTAAATAAGTACAATTTTTTTTTTTTTTTTTTTTACAAAATCTGGTTGGCTTAGCAAACCCCTCTAGTTTTGACAGATTCTCCAGTTTATGTAATAATATTTTTTTTCTTCAGTTTAAAATATCATTAATTAATTGTACATGTGTGTTTATATTCCAAATGATATTGACAGTATACTCAAGTTAGTTGAAAAGCACAAGTTAGTGATTCTTAAAAGAATTTAATTTTTAAGAGTTTAAAATTGCACATCATTTGTATCTTGGAAGTCCGCTAGACATACGACTTAATTAATTGAAGGTACATTTAAAGTGAAGACAGCTTGAAGTCACTCTGTTTGTTTTCCTAAAATTGTTAACATTTTATTAAAAATTGCGATGATCGGTCTTTAAAAAAAGACACAAAAAGTACCCAAAAAATGCTGGAAAATATACCATTTAGAACCATTTAAAACAAAATTTTCTTTAACATATTAATAAATTCTTTAACATTAATAAAACAAGAATTAAATCGTGGCGATAACATAAAATTGCATTTTATTTTTTGTATTATTATCAACTTTAAGAAAATATAATATAATACTTATTTGCACTGTTTCAGCAAAATTCAGATACGTTCAAACAAGGTAACCATGATTAAACATTGTGTGATAAGGTCGTTTATCAATCGAAAAGGGGGATTTTCTAGTACACTGCGAACGGAGAAAACGAGGTACCTGTGAAATTTTTACGACATGAAAAGTAAACAGTTCAATCCTATGACTTCATAGTATGAATGGAAATTATGCACAAAAAATGGCGACCACCTCCAAAACCGAGGTAAGTATATCTCGTTTATAAGATCAACACAGCATCTTGAAATGAAAAAAAAATAGTTCGACAAAGTATATCAGAGATTATTACACTTCAAGTAAATGTCGTTATTCTCCATTAGCCATTTCACGTACCCCCAATCTTGATAAAGTTATATAATTTTACTGATCCGGGGGCGGACCTATGATTCTTTGATGAAGTCCCCAGGACAATCCAAAAGTAGTCAAGCAAAGACAGAGAAAGTGAGAGGGGTTCAGAGTAAATTTATCATTTATATTAATGGGTTCAAATTCAAAATTAAATTTATCATTGATATTAATGGGTTCAAATTCATTTTATATCGTTTATTATTATCTGCAAGCTTTATGCACAATTTGCCTGATTCCTTTAGTTTATCTGTACTGAGTTATGTGTCTTTTCAGACTAGATTTAAATATTCTGCAAAGCTTGCATATTTTTTTCCTCTTTAGCAGGTTGAATGGCCATCTAAAGAAAAAGAATAGGGAAATAAAACATGCGTCAGGGTGAAATTTTTCTGTTAGCCTTTGGAATTTTACTGATTTTACTGGCGTCCATTTACTTTTTGAGGTGCAATAAAGAGAAACTCAAGGACTGTTGTACAATTTATTGCGAGTGTTTCCTGTCGCTTGGAGACTGTACATGGTGCAGACAAAGGTTCTCTTCAGTGTTGAGAAGATCCAGTGGTGAAATGAGGACTAATAGACAAGATGTCAGTACAGTTGGGGAAGAAAATCCGGGAATTTATAACGTTAGCTTTGACCCCCCGTCCTATGATTCTGTGATATCTGACAACAGAGACCCCGATTTACCCACTTATGAAGAGGCAATATCTCGTGTTAATGATTTACGTAGTGAAAACAAAGCATGATTTCAGTGTCTGGGTGTTGTTATGTGCGTGTTTGTGAGGTTGAGTGCGTGTTTATGTGAATTGCAATAAATTGTTGAAATATGCATTTTACATCATACAAGTTTCAAAGAAGCATGAATACAACATTGCAATAAGTGAAGATATGTTATGCTATTATAACACTAAAAATCAATTTCATAAGGTTTTTCTCCATGGCAAAATGTGTTGTCAATGAAACAAATGGAGAGAACGAACAGTATTCAAGATCAAAAGTACATTAAACAATGCAAAATAGGAGCAGAGCAAACACAGACCTCCAAAACTTTGGAGGTGGGATCAGGTGCCATGAAGGAGTGAGCATCCATTGCCGACCGTACACACCAGCCGTGTGTTCCTTGTCATGATCGGGAAATAACGGGGAAATCCGTCATGCAATTCAATGTTTAGATAATATAATAAACAGAATAAAGCACGTCAGTCAGAATTTGACTCAATGATAAATTGTATTTGCAGACAAGGTCACTGTATCAACCAAATAACTTAACGAATTGATGACCTTGAACGAGACTGCTGATATTTTTGTTTCATCAAGTTGTCTGTCGTTTTACGTCGTTTCATACGTAGAGCATGCTCTTGCGCGTCGAATCAACTGAGAAGCACTAGGTAAATAAGGTGATGTACAGGTGCAGGTGATGAAGGTATGTTGCTGCATAAGTAAAGAAAGTTGACGATAGAAAAGTTAAAGTCATCACTTGTATCAAAGAGCTTGGTTTTGAGATTACCATTAAAGTCTTTTTCAAGTAAAAAATCCAAGTATAAAACATATTGTCAGACTCCATAGTATATTTTATCTCAAGCTCACCTGGATTTATTGTATCGATATAAGAATGGAAATTACCATTATTAATTGGCAATACGTCGTCGATCTATCTAAATGCCGAGTTGAAGGCCACAGCAAGTGTTTTCTTCTTTTCACACATAAGGTTTTGGACAAAATCTGCTTCAAATGAATACAAAAATAGGTCTGCTAAAAACTAAGGGAAATTGGTAACCATGGGAATTCCAACAAATTGTTGGAAGACCTGGTCTTCAAAAACGACATAGATATCGTCAATCAGAGACTCAAGCATCTTTTTGATGTCAAATTCAGAGTACTTGTGTGTACAATAAGAATGTTTTTTAAACAAAAAAAAAATTGCAAATGACCAATGACAAGGGAAGAAAATTTACAAGTTCCATTTTTACTGAAAAAGCAACTGTCAATGATATAAAAAAAAAACCCTGGACTTTAATTTATCGTTGGGGAATGGTAGTGTATAAAGTTGAAGTTTTAAGCTGTTGAATTTAGGTGAAATCTTGTGATTTCAAATTGAACAAAAGTTCCTTGGAATTTTTAAGTATCCACATCTGATTAACACCACTTCTTAAAAATATTGTTGCATAATACTCTTGAAGTTTCTCCTTAACAACTGTTAATATCTTTGTGAGGAGTAAAAACAGGCTTGGTTGAACATTTACTGGAACCCGCTTAAGTAGGAATCAAACTTCATTGATCACAAATGTTTTTGTATCTCTTCAAGAAGTATCCATTTACTTAGGGCACGTGAGTCACAATTAAGTTACACTAGGAATACTTGGGAATAAACACTTGAAAAATCTTCTTACAAGAAAAAGGGTCTTAAATTGTAAAGCATAATTTTCAGCATACCATAACAAAAAATTAGAAGATTTCTGTCTGTTCATACCATGTTTTCAGTTGAAGGGAAAAGGTCTCAGATGTGGGCCCAAAGTTTTATATACATAATTATATGGTTTATTCTAGCTGTTAATTAGTTCTACATGACTGTACTAACAGTGTGCCAATATTGTAGATTTAAGTCACGATCCTTGTTCAAATGGGATAAAAAAAAAGACGTTATACCGAATTTTATGGGAAAAGCATCTTCAAAATTGCAGCAACAGGAAAAATTTATATGTCTGGGCAAAAAGATTAATGATATTCATATAATTATTCCTAGTGCATGCTCTACATGTGGACAATTTCTTAAACGAGGTGAATTATCGACAAACTAGATGGTGAAACAAGAATAATCCGCAATCTCGTTTTAAAGTCATCATTTGTAAGTTCTATGTCGGTACAATGACCTTTTCAGCAAATATAATTTATCATTGAGTCGAATGCTGAATGACGTTTTTCATACCAATTGTTTGTCAATTATTAAGGTCTTCCGTCTTCACGGAAGACCTTATAGTGATTCTACTGTTTCTTCTTATTATTATTATTAGGGTCTTCCGTCTTCAGCGGAAGACCCTTCTATTATTCTTTTTTTTTTTCACTTTTCTTATTATTCTACCTTTTTTTTTCTTTACAAAATTTGTGCAGGAGATTTCTCAGAGATGTCTCGTCCGATTTGCATCAAATTTTCATGGTAGATGTGTTTACATCTGAAGTTAATTCCGGCATAATATTTTAGGGATATTCACTTCCGGTCGGAAGTTATCGCCCTTTAATCAAAATTTAGGGGACCTCCTTGTCTGTGATGGAACTCAAAAACGGCTCAAGCTAGAAAGCTGAAATTTTCAGGGATGATAGAGGACATGTTGCCATATTGCACCTGGGTCAGGATATTTTCCGGAAGTGCTTAGTATGGAAGCTCGGTAGGGGTCAAAATTTAGGACACGAATCATGACTGATTTTTTGAGACATTTTGAATTGTATCTTTTAAAGTATAATTATTTTGTTAAAACATACTGAACAATATTTGTGCAGAACTATAAGATCTTTCATATGAAATCAAGAAAAAAGTGCTGACTCATCACATTAAGGGCAAATAGGGGCCAAAAATCTTTATCCCATAACTTTTTAACAGTCAGTATTTTGAAATACATTACTGTAGCAAAAATGTTTATCTTAATAATCTACAACTATAATTTCTAATTTTTATGTCGTATGGTACATAATTAGGGGCCAAAAGGGGCTAGAATGCTAAATCTTTGACGCTTTATATCTCGAAAGAGAGAAATATTTTGATAAGTAATATTGAACAAAAGATGTTCAAAATAATGTTCTGAACAATATGCAACCTTTCATTTTTCGCTAAACGTCCCGTTAGGGAGTTGAAGGGTTGGCCCCTAAATATTTCTTTTGCAAATAACTCGAAAACGAAAAAGAATCTCTGAACAGTTGTTGAACGAAAAGTGTTCAAAATCATAAGATCTTTAAAACGAAATCAAGAAAAAGGGGTTTGGCACTCAAATAAGGGGCCAAGAGGGGCCAAAAGTCTTTAATTGATAACTCTTTATCAATTAATATTTTTTAATACATTACTGAAGCAAAAATCTTAATCTCAACCATTTACAACTATATATCATGATTTTTATGTTGTATGGTACATAATTAGGGGCCACGAGGGGCCAGAATGCTAAATCTTCGACGCTTTATATCTCGAAAGAGAGAAATATTTTGATAAGTAATATTGAACAAAAAATGTTCAAAATAATGTTCTGAACAAAAAACAATCTTCCATTTTTCGCTAAACGTCCCCGTTAGGGAGTTGAAGGGTTGGCCCCTAGATATTTCTTTTGCAAATAACTCGAAAACGAAAAAGAATCTCTGAATAGTTGTTAAACGAAAAGTGTTCAAAATCATAAGAGCTTTAAAACAAAATCAGGAAAAAAGGGGCTGGGCACTCAAATAAGGGGCCAAGAGGGGCCAAAAGTCTTTAATTGATAACTCTTTATCAGTTAATATTTTTTAATACATTACTGAAGCAAAAATCTTTATCTCAACCATTTACAACTATATATCATGATTTTTATGTTGTATGGTACATAATTAGGGGCCACGAGGGGCCAGAATGCTAAATCTTCGACGCTTTATATCTCGAACGAGAGAAATATTTTGATAAGTAATATTGAACAAAAAATGTTCAAAATAATGTTCTGAACAAAAAGCAATCTTCCATTTTTCGCTAAACGTCCCCGTTAGGAAGTTGAAGGGTTGGCTCTTAAATATTTCTTTTGCAAATAACTCGAAAACGAAACAGAATCTCTGAATAGTTGTTGAACAAAAAGTTCTCAAAATCATAAGAGCTTTAAGATGAAATCAAGAAAAGGGGCTGAATACTCAAATAAGGGGCCAAAAGTCTTTAATCGATTACTCTTTATCAGTTAATATTTTGTAATACATTATTGAAGCAAAGATGTTTATCTCAACCATTTACAACTAAATATTATGATTTTTAGGTCACCTGAGTAAACTCAGGTGACCTATTGCTATCTGTTTTCGTCCGTCGTCGTTCGTCGTACGTCGTACGTCGTTCGTAAACTTTTGAACATTTTCAGCTTCTTCTCTGCAACCACTGAACCAATTTCAACCAAATTTGGCACAAAGCATCTATGGGTGAAAGGGAACAAAAATTGTGAATTTCATGATCCCTGCCCCCCTGGGGCCTGAGGGGTGGGGCCAAAACCACTAAAATTAATGCAATCTTTGAAAATCTTCTTCTTTACTCCTGGACATCAAGCAGTCAAACTGTTTGCATGATTGTAATCAGCATTGAGTCCTCTACCAAAATTGTGAAATTCATGGCCCTGGGGTCAGGGGTTCTAGTGCTAGGGCAGGGCTAAATAAGTAGGTAGTGATAATGCATTATTTCTTTGAAAATCTTCTTCTCTGCTCCTGGGTATTAAATAAACCAACTAAGTAGTTAGTTATGATGAGCAAGAGTGCTTCTACCAAAATTGTGAATTTTATGGTCCCAGGGTCAGGGGTTCTGGTGTTAGGGCGGGGCTCTCTTGATTATATACATTGAAAATACATGATTTCTTTGAAAATCTTCTTCTCTGCCCCTGGGTATTAAATAAACTAACTAAGTGCATAGTTATGATGAGCAAGAGTGCCTTTATCAAAATTGTGAATTTTATGGCCCCAGGGTCAGGGGTTTTGGTAGGGGGGGGGGGCTTTATAGATTATATAGTAAAAATACATGAATTCTTTGAAAATCTTCTTCTCTGCTCCTAGATACTAAATAAATTAACTAAGTGCATAGTTATGATGAGCATGAATGCCTCTACCAAAATTGTGAATTTTATGGCCCCAGGGTCACGGGTTCTGGTGTTACGGCGGGGCTCTTTAGATTATACATAGTAAAAATACAT